TGTCCGTCTATTATTAGAAAAAAATATTCATCGTTTTTGTAAATAAATTCCGACAGAAAAATAAATCTTATCAAAGATATTTGTTATTCAACTTCCTTTCGAATCGCTTTTATTTTTTATTTTAGTTTATCTTTCTCTTTGCTCTTCTGTCAAATATTTCACAAGGTACTTTTTTTCAATTCTGTTTCCCTTATTTATTCACTCAAATTCTCTTTCTTCCTTTAATGTAGGTTTCATCTGTGTTGATTTGCCAAAGAGCAAGGCTTTTTTCCATAGAATGTGTATTTCACAACAGCCATCTTGGCAAGCGATAAAACATTTCACAGGAAGGAAGAACGAAAATTAATGAGAATCATCAAAATACTTGCAGAAATAGCCGACCTTGCTTCCGTGATATTTGTATTTTCAAATAAATACACTTTCATCTGAACACAACATAATGGTCGTTGGCGAGGAATAATGGGACTAGCGTGTCAAGTTCGAATCCAAACCACGGCCACTATGTTCACTGGCGCAAAAATCCTCCTGAAAATCAATCGCTTCTCCCTACCCGCCCAGGTAAAAGCAAAGGGCGTGAAACCCAGGGTCACAAACTCACATTAATACAACTAAATATCATATTGATGCTGATATTGAGCGCTTTCCAATAAGTAGCACGCATATACAATATATAAATAATATATATATAAAATTATATATATATATATATATATATATATATATATATATATATATATATATATATATATATATATAAATGGACAAAGTGCGACAGTTATTTAAAAAAAAACATAAATATTTGTATCTATAAAAAGAACATATAAACATAAAAAAATGTCTTAAAGTAATTGTCGGACTTTTTCCATTTCATAATGTGTGACGTCATTTGTTTACATTTGGATACGCATTGAGCAGATATGAACGAATGAGAGAAAATCACGGAGAATTGTGTTTAAAAACAGTAAAATCGACTTTGCTGATAGAACGCTCCTCTGTGGCTCAATCGTTTAAGGCATGTCTAGCTATATGACGGTTCCGTATAGGATACAGGTTCGATTCCTGTCGGAAGACGCATATTTTGTATCAAAATTTCTCGGACTTTCAAGCGGGTAATGTTGTTAATACTGTTTATTATAAACAGAGCATTTGCTTAAATATTTGTATCTATAAAAAGAACGTATAAATATAAAAACAATGTTATATATATATATATATATATCAGCTAGGAGTTAATTGCAGTTCCGACTGAGCTATCAGGTTTTGGTTACCAACCAATCAAGAATAACAGGACTGGATTCAAAGCTGGTTGAGTGAAATTCACTGGGGAACACGTATTTTATTGAATGATATCTGTCGTTTGATTCTATGTAATTTGGCTGAGCTGAATATGAATTTCAACTCGGTTTGGCTCTATCAGTTCCTCATTCTTGTCAGCAGCCTGTTTGCCATTTTTCAGATTTTTTTTCCAAATTGGGACTAACAAATTAAGTCATATATTTTTTTTTAATTTCATGAATACACGCAGTTTAAATTACAGTAAATATCACATAATGATAGAAATAAAAAAAAAAAACAGAGATGTTGCTCTCACTGTGGCAAAAATTATTTTACAAGACTTTCTAACGTATTTGCTTGTTGATGGCAGGGTCTCTTTTCAAGCACCAGCTTTAATCAGCAATTATATCAGAATCCCAATGGGCTTGGTACCGTTCCTCCATTAATTTTGATATTTTGGTGGAATCTCTCGCCTTGTTCGTAACTTACATCACCTAAATTAAGTGGGAATTGTTCAAAATGGCGATTCAAAAATGCATCTTGACGCTCATATTTCTTCCTAGTTATTTGCACTATAATTGTATAAAATGCTTTCTGTCAATCCACGAATGAGCACTAGTTATTTTTTCCGCATTCATTCATGACTTTATGAAAATTGCTATCTTTAACTAATGTTTTTATTTGTAGACCGTCGAAAATTCCCTTGATTTAAATAGGAACCTATTATGAAACAGATAAATCTATGAATTTAAACTAAAAACATGAATGAATAGGTAGAATATAAATCCCATCTAAATAAATCAACTATTAAATCACGATGACAAAATTACTCAGTAAATCATATGCCAATTCAAAAATTATCTTAATGCCGAAACTTAATCAACTGACTGATAAACTCCGAAAACAAATCGCTTTTACATATTTTAGTTGTCCCTCTAGAATATTTTACAGGAAACAGGAAAGCTTGAGAAGTTTTAGAATTCTATTATATTTTTAGTTTAATTTGCTAATATTAAAATGGATTAAAAATCACAAAATTAAAAATATTTTAGGGTGTCACATATAAAAGTATACATAATACAACAATGCCATAACAATAGGTACAAATATATAGATAAAAAAAAACTAGTTTTATAATGTGTAACAGCAAAATGACTTGGCGAATATTGAGAAAAAAAACCTTATTATGAATACGACAAAAGAGGATAGGTGTTGAGAAAAATTAGGACCTGATGGAACAAAACCGAGAAACATTTCAACGCACCAAAATTATATAAAACTATCAAATGTAATTCAATAGACAAAAATTGAAATTTGTTCCCCAATGATCAACTTCACCATAAAAGCCAACTTACGACTGAAATCACAAAGGTAATACATAGCTTGGAATTCCTAGAATAAACAAACACCTGAATAAATATTATTATTCGAGTTCAGTATATTTTATAATAATTGTGTTTAAAACTAGCTGGCAAAGTTTAATTCGCCCGGGAAAAGTTGGTTCAGTGATTGTTGTTTCATCCAAGCTGTTCTGAAATAAGCTCTATTTTCACTATCTGTTCGTATCTCTGCGATGAGGTATTATGATTACTTATATTATTTACATTATTCGGGCTGCTATGCTCATCTTCATGGCCATATTCACAACGTTTCGGTCGTTGTACGCTCTGGCTTTCTTCAGGTGATTGGAATTTCAGTCACCGGGTTAGAAGTTCTACAATCTACAACGATGGACAAAATAAAGCGGTCGGTTCGAAATTCCAATCACTTGAAGAAGGCCAGGGCGTACAACGACCGAAACGTTGTGAATATGGCAATGAAGATGAGGATAACCGTCCAAATAACGTAACTGTTCTATTTCACTATTCTCAACATTTGCTCGAGCGCAGACATAAAAAAATGAAGTTCAAAATGAGAAAAAAAGTAGTGTATACATAGATACGAACAGACATTAACATGTAACATTACTATGGCTTTAAAACTTATATATTCATATAATATATACAAATATATTAAAAGAAAAGACAAGACCGAGAAGAAAATTAATAATGTCTGCAAAGTATTAAATAGGAAAAAATAACAAAAAAGAAGCTATTTTGTTGGAGTGTTCTTTGCTTATATTTTCATATTTTTAATGTATATATTCTCATACGATATATAAATATACTAGCAGTAGAGTCCGGCGTTGCCCGGGGATGTAACAGTAAGAGATAGATCAAGTATCGATCATCATAAAGACTGAAAAATATAATTGACAAAGATTATTGTTTAAGGTTGACGTACACGCATGTCTTAATTAGTTTTTTTTTTTGTTTTTGTTTTTGTTTTTTTACGAATTGGTCAAACACAAACAAAAACATTGTTTTCAATCGTTATGAGTACCGATTGAATAGAATTTTATTATAAACTATTGAGAACGTTGACTCTTAATCGTATTTTCAAATTGATTTTGTGCAAAAACAATTGTGTTTTTCCGATGTTTGACGCTGTCAGAACCACCGCAAGGTAATTTTACGTAGTCCTGTGAAGTTTTGTTGAAATCGGTTAAAAAATGTAAGAAATCCGATCCAATATATAAACAAACAGACATACACACACACACGCAACCTGGGTTTTATAATAAGTATGATTAAAACAAAAGACAAGAAAAATATATTAATAACTGTAAAGTGTTAAATCAGTCAGTTATGTCTCATGCATGATACACGCTTAGGCGATCATGTATCTTTCGATACATGACTGACGAGGCAGATTTTTTCCGTCAGTAGTTCGCCAATTCTTTCTGCGGTAGACCGGTTGCCATCCAAGGCTATAGAACCCGGTCTGTCCTGCTATTTACAGCTTATAGCTTGAAGAAGAAGAGGATTCATATTTTGATGCCTTTATCCACTGTGCCATGTGTCCTTGAGGACACATGGCACAGTTTAGGAAGTTGTTGGTTAGATCCAGTGACAGGACCCAAAGAGTGTGAATTCATTACCCGGTTAAGGCAGTGGAGAACTTTCAGAGGTTAAATTAACAGGAGATAACTGATAACTAACATCCATCAAACATGGCACGTGGAACTAGAACAGTCTACCCCAGTGAGCGAAATAAAGGGTTCGGTTCGACATTCCAACCACCTGAAGAAGGCCTGAGCGTACAACGGCCGAAACGTTGTTATAGATATGGCGAAAAAGATGAGGACAATAGTCCGAATAATGTAAATAATGTATATAATACCTAATCTCGGAAATATAGACAGACTCTTTCTTGCTTATATTTTCATGTTTTTATTCGTATTTTTTAAATGTATATATTCACATAATATTCACATAATATATACAAGTGTATTAAAACAAGGAGGATGAAGAGCAAAGAATTGAAGAAATGTAACTTATAAATTGTTGTAATAAATATGGCGACAAAGATGAGGACAATAGTCCGAATAATGTAAATAATATCTATAAAAAAAAATTGAATCGAGTTGGTCAGTGTGGTAAAAGCAACGAGTATGATGATACTCGTTAGGTTAGAGTGGCATGATGGTAAAACTTTATTTGAAGATTTTAAGCAACGGTTTTAATTTAATTTAATTTATTTACGGTAATGTTTCTAAAAATGTTTCTTCATAGTTCTTTTATATAATTCAATGGCGAGATGGCCGCCTTTAGATCCAAGATAAACCACCGAAGAAAATCTTGTTCTTTTGTAAATCAACGCTGATCAAATCGAAAACCTGAAAGCTAATCCGAATTATTCCTGGAATAAAAGTGTAGGCAGAAACTGAAAAGGTGGGGAGAGAGAGAGAAAGAGAGAGAGAGGGGGGAGAGAGAAGGGGAGAGAGAAATATAGCGAAAAAGGAAGAACTGAAATTGTAAAACAAAAAAAAAAGAAACGAAAATAACAAATAAAAGAAAAAGAAGTAAAAACAAAATGGGAAAGACCTGCAAAATGGGAAAAGAAATGATTCTATTTTTGATGCTTTTGTGTTACTTGAAGAGAAATTATTAACAGCAGAATCAAATTCACAAACCCGTTTATAATACATCGTTTTTTTTTTCTTTTTAGGGCCTTCAATATCGAGATTTTTTTCCCGGTAATACAAACTTGTCGAACGTATGGAATGAAGAACTAAAGCTAATTACCCGGTTCAGTGAGATTGTTGCCCAAAGTCTTTGAAATAACTGAAAGAAATAAAAAAAGAATACTCAAAGTTTATCGTTTCATAGTGAAGTACATTGTAACTCACAAGAAATTCAACGAGTGAACTTGAGCCTTTATCGCAGCTGAAAATACCAACCAAAAATATCTTGATCTTGCCTGAGAACTAACAAGAATATACAATATATAAACGACAATAGTAGTCCTAGATATTAGCACACTTGCAGCGTTCTGTAAAAGCCCAGAAAAAAAAAAGAGCGGGATAATTTGAAAATCAGAAGTGGCGCTATCCAACCGACAACACGACGACCATCGGTAATAGTTCCAAAGAGATTACGAGTAAAATTAAGGAAGTCGTCATTTGATTACTAATGAAAGTTACAGATTGGGAAAAGTAAACTTGGGTGAAACACAGACGAGTCTATTCTGATGGCGGACTCAGAATTAAAACAACAAGAAATCCTAGACAAGGCAAGAAAGGATAGCAATGAGAACTAACAACAAATATAAAAAGAGAGAGAGAATATATGATCCTCAGCAAAGCAGCCAAAAATGTCAGCTTTGAACTGCAGAGATTAGAATCAAACAAGTCAAGAAACTTAGTTCTCGGGGTAGACGACGGAAACTGTGACACAGAAATCTGAAGAAGTGCCGCAACAGAAAATATTTACTTTCCAGAAACTAAGCAAAGAATTAAGATAGAATATTTTCGCTAGAAACGAAGAAAAGACTGCCGATCCTCTTATAAGATTTCATTTAACTCAATTTGAATTTTATTGGTTAATCAGCCCTTTCTGTATTATCACGACTCGAAATATATTTTGAATTGTAATAATAATTCTTTTTTTATTCCTGTGAATATTACATTAAAAACTTTTTAAGAGAATAACAATGATTTTTCTAGTTGCAAGTTCTACTGTGTAACCCATAGGTGGGGGATGGAGATGAATCCATACCTTTCCCAACAGTATCTGCCCGTAGGTGAATGTAACGCGCCATATATCACAGTGGATACTTACAGGTCCTCAAAGATTAAGAAGGAACTCAAAGCTACAAAGATGTGATTCTAGAGAAGGTTGCTAAGTATGTCATGGACAGAAGTGTTAAAGAAACTGAAAAAGGAAGATTGTGAAGAGCGGAACGGCGAGTAAGTGAGCGTATGATTCTGGTGGGGGGGAGAAAAAGGACAACGAGAGCAACCAAATGCTGGAAAATGTGGAGTGTCATGAACGGCCGCAAAATGAACATAAATTGTTTAGGCGGTAGCGTTCGGAATCAACAAATTTTGGAGTCATTAAACCCAGAAATAAAACACTGCATGTATAGAAAAAATTTAATAAAAACGATAAAATGTACCTTGTCAGTCTTGTAACGATACATATATTTAAGTGGCTTTGTTGCCATGATAGATAGATAGATAGATAGATAGATAGAAAGAGAAAGAGTGGGCGATAGAAATACAGAGATAAAAAGAAAGAGAGGCTTAGAAAGAGAGAAATACAGAGAGAGACGGATAGAGAGAGAGGGAGAGAGAGGGGGGAAGAGAGAGAGAGAGAGTATAATGACGAGGACCGAAACAAAATAATAAAACTAGCTTTCTTATTTGTTAATAAATTGCTGGTTGCTTCTAAATTTTCTTCTTTTTTTTTATAATTTCATTCCAACACACGAATAATTTAACTATTACCTCTTCAGATTTAAATAAAAAGGAATTTTTTAAAAGTTCAAAAAAAAAAAAAAGAAAACACCTATGAAAATTAAATGTCCGATCGGCGGAAGTCATTAAAAAAAATCAATTCTTTTGATTAAAACGTGTCCCATTTCGTCATTTTTTTTTTACCTTATTTATCTAACTCTTATTTTGCATTTCTTGTCTATCTTCCTTCGTCTTCTCGTATCGTCCCGCCCCGACCGTGCGGTCTTTCCTTTGTTCCCGAAAAACTATGATTAGCGTCAGGCTTAAAAACCGACTTGTACCGTCAGAACCAATCAGAAAAATCCTCAAACGTATGAAACGCACGCTTTGCTGATCCCCTGCAACCATTATGAACCGGTAAGGAAGTAAGCAAAGATATAATTTATGGGAACGTGTAATTTACTTGAGAAGCTGTTGTTATTAGTAGATGAAATTTCAAGTTGGCCTGGCGCGTCTTTGCCATTTGGTGATGAAAATGATGCGTCCTGCTCTGTGTCGTCTTCTCATCACGCTGAGTCGCCTTGGGAACAGCACGTTGGAAGCCTCTTCAAATAGGCATATCTAAATACGTTAGACCCAGATAACAACGTTGCCACAGAGTTACACTGTTTTCAGAAAGCGATATAAGTAGTTGTTACTCAGGGGTAAATAAGAAGTTCGAACATTAAGAGTAAATTCCAGAATGCGTAAAGGCTAAAAATATATGAAAAGGAGAAAATAATATACATAGGTCGCCTGATGTTATTTGCCTTTAAATTTATATATATACACACACACACACACACATATATATATATATATATATATATATATATATATATATATATATATATATATATAATATAAGAAAGTACAGTAAGATGCTTTTAGCAATTATTTTTATTTAAAAAATCAGTGCACGATACAAAACAGTAGAAGATAATATTATAATTATTATCTTTTTGTAAAAATAATATTCCATCGCGACACAGAAATTTCTGTTTCAAAACTGAAATTGAATTGTAAATCTAATTATAAGAATTAAACTCAAAATGCAGAGTTTCGTTCCATTATCAAATCCCTAGCATCGCTTGACAATGGAACCGACACTTTGGATTAAAATCCAGTTTCATTTTATAGTTAGATTTTCAATTTTAGTTTCAGTTTTGAAACATAGAAATTTCTGTGTCGCGATGGAATCATATTTTAAAAAGATAATATATATATATATATATATATATATATATATATATATATATATATATATATAGTAGTACAGTTAATAAACCGTTGGTATATAATCTAGGTGGATCCTAATAATATCAAATATTACAACTGACCCACAAAAAGAGCTCAATGTATTTATTACAACAAAGCAAATAAATTACCGGGATTGAATATGACCGACGTACTTCGCGTTGGCTGAAATAGATTTATCTCCCCACCCATATGAGGTAATTTTGGATTTTGTTGTGTATATATATATATATATATATATATATATATATATATATATATATATATATATATATATATCAAGAGTGTCTAAGATTAATTAAAGTCGTTTAACCATTACTTGGAATAAAGACATTTTGTTTAAAATGTTTACTGTTCATTGTGGTCAAAAGATTTCGTATGGAGAAGAAGTCGATTCAAATCGAACAAAGACATACAAAACCATGTAACCAATAGTTTGAGAAATCTCTTCAAATATATTTGTTTCTAATTGCGGTTGGTAAGCAATTTTCGTTGTTTGTATTTGATCCTCACAGTGTGCCCTACAATTACAGCTTTTTGCAAGGCTAAGTTAAATTTAGTGAATATCTCATCGTTGTGGTTAACAAGCGAACGTCTCAGAGGACAATGATTAACAATAATCAAAGACCTGGCCTAAAAATTGGCACGCAAGAAAAAAAAAGACGTATCCATCGTTTTTATAAAATTTATTCATTAAAATGGAGACTTGAAGGAAACAAAAACTAAAAAATTATTTGATTCCCGTTTTTCAATTTGTGCAAAAAAAAAAAAAAAAAAAAAAAAAAAATATTTGGATAAGTTTCAGTGACAGGAAAATAGAAAAAGATTTTTCATATTCATTCATTGATTACTGAATTTAATTAAATATGATATGCTTAAACTTTAATAATATGTGTGGAAATATATATATTTTTAGAAAAGAAAACTTATTTCTCGGGCTAAGTATTTCTCCTGACATGAATGGGAATAGTGATATTGAGTCAATTGCTAGATCTGCTGCGAGAAAAGTTGGTTGCCTGTGTCGTGCTAGACATTCTTTTCTCGCTGGACTCCATCTTAAACATTTATAATTCTATAATTCCACCATGGATTGAATATTACTGTCACATCTGGTCTGGTGGTCCTGCTATGTATCTAGAGATTCTTGTTTAAAGCCAAAGAAGAATCTGAAATGTGATCGGTCCTCACCTGGCATCTCAGCTTCAGTCATTTTCTCACCGCCGTAACATAGCTTCCCTGTGTTTTTTCTATAAATATTTTCATGCTAATTATTCTGATGAGATTTACTTTGGCATCTAGATTGGCGGCAATGTGTCATAACTTTACAGTTAACCTGGATAGATGTAACCGTAAGTTCTATGCTAGCATTTTCTTCACTATTTACATTATTTGGACTATCGTCCTCATCTTAGTCGCCATATTTATTACGTTTCAGCTTTGTATGCTCCGGCCTTCTTCAAGTGGTTGGAATGTGGAACTAAACCCTTTATTTTGCACACTGGTGTGGACTGTGCTGGTTCCACATGCCAAGTTTAATGGATGCCAGTTGTCAGTTATCTCCTGTTAATTCCGTTCTCTAATCGGATATTGAACTCACACTCTTTTGGGTCCTATCATTGGACCTAACTAACGCCTTTATCCACTGTGCCATGTGTCCTCAAGGACTCAAGTGTGTGAGTTCAATGCCTAGTTAGGCGGTGGAGAACTTGGAGAGGGGAATTAACAGCAGATAACCGACATCCATTAGACATGGCACGTGGAACTAGAACAGTCTACCCCAGTGAGAGAAATAAAGGGTTCAGTTCGACACCTGAGGAAGGCTGGAGCGTACAACGGCCGAAACGTTGTAATGAATATGTCAACAAAGATGAGGACAATAGTCCGAATAATGTAAACAGTGTACATAATACCGCTTCTCAGAAATATAGACAGATAGCATTTTCTTCTCTCGCAATTCTCGCTTGTGAAACACTCTTCCGACCAATTGTTTTCCAGTCAACTTTGACCTTTCAAAATTTAAATCCAATGAGAGCAATCAGGCTTGTGACTGCCCGGTCGGGGGTTCGCGCTTGTACTCGCCGTCCCTGCTTCCAAAGAATTACGGAAACAAATTTGTCTGTTTTCTACTTCTTGATGAAAAAAAAAACAAAAAAAACTATCAACCTATAGACAGTAAACACGTGTCAAAAACCCTCGGCTGTGATAGTGGGCCGAGTGTGTGATGTTTATTTAATCTTGGTTATCCATTACTCCGTCGTAATAAAATTGAAACAATCATGTAGTTTTCCGTACACCAAATAATATGGCAGTTAAGTGGATTATAATACTTCTGTCTTTTCCCGAGCGGTAAATCTTTCACTTTACAAACTTACTGTCAAGTACTGACACAGCTCCCACACACAAAGAAAACAACTTTTTGTCATTGTGGTCATCCGTACTTATCGTGTCACACAACTGACTCGTAAATTTAATTTCGACACTTGTGGATAAGGTACTATTTCCAATTAACCTGTCCAAATGTATTGACAATTATCTTATCCCTTACTGTAAACAAAGATATTTTTCAATATATCTAAAGTTTAAGGTTGTCTAATTTTTCAGAGCGAATAGTAAAATGACTAATTTTCGTCTTATCTTATTTCTATTAAGGCTAGTTTATTTTTAAATGTTTTATTACGTAATTGAAATTTACACGTTTATGAATTTTAAGACATTTTTATGTTTATACATTCTTTTTTTATATAGATACAAATATTTAAGTAAATGCTCTCTTTATAATAAACAGTATTAAACAACATTTACCAGCCTAAATGTCCGAGAAATTGTCATAGAAAATATGCGTCCTCCGACAGGAATCGAACCTGTATCCTATACGGAACTGTCATATAGCCTGACGTGCTTTTACCGATTTCGCCACAGAGGAGAGTTTCGGTAAGCAAGGTCGATTTTACTGTCTTTAAACTACAATTTTCCATGATTTTCTCACGTACATTCATATCTGCTCAATGCGTATCCAAATGTAAACAAATGACGTCACACATTATGAAATTATGAAATAAACAGTATTATTGTTAATACCGTTTATTATAAAACTGAGCATTTACTTAAATATTTGTATCTATATAAAAAGAATGTATAAACATAAAAATGTCTTAAAATAATTGTGGGACTTTGTCCATTTCATAATATGTGACGTTTATGAATATTAACATTGGGTAACCGACGTAATTTGGTTTTGAACTATAAAATCTAAATGTGCATTCTTTTTCTTTATATGTTGTTTCTCCCTCACAGGACGTAGGCGATCATCTATCTATCTATCTATCTATCACAGTATTCATTGGTTTGTTTTACGGTATATCAACCTCAGCGGGTTATTTAATGCCGACAAGATTTTATTGCTGGTAATATTTTTTTTTTTTTTTTTATCTATCTATCTATCTATCTATCTATCTATCTATCTATCTATCTATCTATCAGTATACATTGGTTTGTTTTACGGTATATCAACCTCAGCGGGTTATTTAATGCCGACAAGATTTTTATTGCTGGTAACAATTTTTTTTAAAAAAAATTAATAGCTGTTTATATTTTTTTTTTTTTGAAATATGTATTTCTAGTAATAATTTTTTACAAATATTTCTGGTATTAAAACCTATTTTTACACTTTCATAATATTTTGACCCCGGGGTTATTTTTTATTTTTTTGGTTGGGTTGTTTGGAGGGGGTAACTATTTGCTCATACCTGAGACCCAAACAGATGCTACCACCTCGATTCAGGGTGGATCTGGGAAACCAGCAGTTAAGAGGTTCCACACTCCTCAAAACCTCCTGATCAGAGGCCTTGCTGCCAGATGTAGTTTATCGTCATACCCAGGACGCCATTTTATTCTAGAAAAAATGTTTAAAGTAACCGTTACAATATAAGGTCATCTTGTTTAACAAGAAGGCTTTATAATTCGAGAAATATTTTCGTGAAAAGGAACGACTGAATCCCGAATTATAATAACCTTCAAATTTCTATTAACCCTTGGCAAAGAATTCTACCACACCTGTTCTTTGTAAGCAACAGAATTTCTTAAACCTCGCGAACATTCAAATTCTCATCCATTTTTTAATCGATCACCAAACCTGATGCATATTTTTACAATTAAAAAAATCGTCAACATCGATTTACTCAGTATTACTAAGTATTCAAAGCTGAAATGTTTCCATTTGTATATGTC